TAATTTTTAGCTCTCTCCATAAATTATTTTAATTAAATTTTATTTTATGTTGGTATCTATTCAGTCAGGATATTATACTATGCTAATAATTTTCAATAAAAAGAGGCTTTTATTGTTTGAAAATGATTAATTAATAAAATATGTTCTCATAACATGTCTCCTATAATTTGAATGTGTTCTCATGAAGACGTAAGAGAGTCTCTTCTTCGTCCCTCTAGAATGGAGCACTTATATATCTACGTATCATTTGGTTATCCCAAGTGCACACATTCAAAGTGCAGCTGGGTCAACCACATGTTTACATATCAGGGGCAGCCACTAATATTGAAGGTGCATATCTGCACTTGGTGGCTAGGGGGTCATCTTTCAGGTTAACTCTGATGCTCTGGTATAACCCTGAGCACAAAGCCTATTTTGGTATCATTTGGGTGATCCCAGTACCTATTGGGGTCATTGCAGATTATTTCTCTTAAAACAAAGGCTCCCTATTGACTTGGACTATTCGGTATTTCCTGCTCACATGTTCAGTCCATGGTATCCTCAACATCTTTCTATAGAATCACATGCCTGTTAAACTTTCTCACTAATAGATAAATGGCAGTCTGGCAAAATGATGTTTGACATGAAAGTGCATGTAAATTATAGATGTATCACTGAACTCATCTGGCTATAAAAAAAAATTTATCGATGCTTGTTAAACAATTACAGAAGCCAAAAAGTGTATATGAGGACAATTATGCCATGGGTAATACATTTCAGCAGTAGCAAGAAGGATGTGTGTAAAAAGACATGTTCTGGGCAGTCCTGCAAAGCTGTCAATTCACAAAATGAAGAACTCAGCTTATCCATATAAATCAGCAGATTATGACAAAGGAAGTGTGTATAGAGCTGAATGTCAGCTCCAATGCCTTGGAACGAAATAAAGAAGAGAAGATAGAAAAGGAGAGCGAAATCGGATAAAGCTAATATCATAGGAACAGATACTACACTTTGATCTTAGCCAAATGGCCAAGAAGCATGGCGACCACAATAAATGTGTAATTTTTCAGACTCACAGTATTGAATGATAAAAACTAAATAAGTCAATCACCAAAAGTCCAGTTAAAAGCTGTTGATAAGAGAGAGAAGCCTGCCATTCTTAAAATGGGTGAATTTCAATCACTTTTGAATGTAATGTATGGTTTTTGTCTTCATTTAATATTCTTCTCTTGATTCTCTGCATTGTCTTCCTACCTTTGCTTGAACATTTATATATATATATATATATATATATATACTTTCTTACTAAATCATGTTGATGTAATATTAATTTGATTCACAGCATTTAATGAAGCTTTCTCGTTTTGACTTGGGGTTTGCCAACACAGTTTGAAAGAGTTGGTATTTGGACTTATATACTAAATATAAAACTTAATTATTGTATTTTATATTCTACTTTTTCAACTCCCCTCCCCACTGGTGTACAGGTATGTATATATGCTTGTGCCAGGGCATCTGTGCACCACAGCTTAACTCTCCAAATAATAAGTTATTTGAAAGAATAATAAATAAGTATAGTATAAAGTATAGTAAATACTTATATATATATATATATATATACTTATATATAATAATAGTATATAATATAGTATAGTAAATAATCTTGATAAAGAAATGGAAAGAGATCAAGCAGAACCTAAGAAAGGCAGAGTATAAAATGCCAATCATTTTAAATCAATTTCTTAGATGGACAGTCCATGCAATATGTAAAAATAAAAATATAAAATAATATAAAAGAAATAAGATCATGAAAAATTAAGAATAAATGAAAATTGAAATCTGTAAATTTAAAAGGGATTAATATTTTTTTTTAAAATAGCAAATTTTGTTTCTTTTTTTTTTTTAATCAAATCACTCCAAGCAAGGCGATAATACCACTAAGATGCAAGAGACTACTGAGAGTGAAAGAAAATGCAAAAAGTTTCAAAAAAATTGGAAACCCAATCCTATACAAGAAACAATGGATAAATCTTTACTCCTGTTGAAAAGACTGGGGAAGAGCATGATATTACATCAAAGTTCCACACTTATTTCTTTGTTTCTTTCTTTATTTTCCTCTCTTCTTATTTAGCTTATTTTAGTATTCCAGACGCATTGTGATTTATTAGAAAAGAAAACAAAGCTACTCCAGTTCAAAAGACATGAGAGGGATTTGAACCAGATGATAGGCAAGCCTATGTATTTCTTATCTGCCAATGAAATTAAAGTGAAAATATTCAGTTTTTACCAGACATTTTGTTTATTAAAATTGTTTATTTTTAATACTTCAACTTCTTAGGATGTACTTATACATCTTTATGGAAATTACATTACCTGCTGTTGACATTTGTTTTCAAGACATGCTTAGAAATCTTTACAAAACTTACAATGCCTGTTGTTGATGTATGGTTTCAAAACATATTTATAAGCCTTTATAAAACTTACATTGCTTGCTGTCGACATATATATACTTTTTCAAGATGTACTTATTTATCTTTTCAAAACTTATATTGCCTGCTGTTGACATATAAATACGTTTTTTAAGACATACTTGCTTGTTTTTTCAAATCTTACATTGCCTGCTGTTGACATATATATATATATATATATAGCATTCATGTTATAAATTAATTAATACTTAGTGCTTATTTCAAACCAGTGTAGATATATACTAGCATATAATATGGCCTTACTTTGCGATGTATTTTTGTCATATTGTATGTTGTTTTGCTTAGTCTGAACTGCAGATTATCCAATCAAAACCAAAATGAGAACTCACTATCAGCATAGTCATTTATTTCCAGTAAATGGCAATTTCCTATTTTTCCCCAAACTGGCCAGCACAGCAAGGTTACAATGCTATAACAATGCAGCAGTGAATGTGTTCATCCAATATTTTACTTTATTATTCTAGCCATTCAATACATCTGAAATAGATTTTTTTTAAACCTTTGCATAGTCAAGTCCCATTCATAAATTTTCCACCAAAAAAGACATAAAAATCACTTGAAAGTTCAGTACTTAAGTATGTGGATCATGAAGGGTTAAATTTTTAACACTGTCATAGTTCAAGGTCAGGAATTCCTTCCTACTATGTAATCAAATGCAGCATAGAGCATAACCCATCACTGTCAATTAATCCGCATTAACCCAAAAAATGCCATGAAGGACTTAGCATTTGCAACACAATGATTTACTAGTTCAAGAGATAATTCGATTAAACTTTAATAATGACACTGCAAATAAATATTCAAACTTATAACTAGATATTAACAGACTATTAAGTTTTCTTTATCAAACAAAATAAAAAATAGCCAAAAACCTTAAAAGAATTAGAAATGCTATATTAGAATTCAAAGAAGATTTATAAACAATGACAAAATTTAATTACTTTGAATGTAAAATTAATTAAGAAAATAATAATTCTATATTTAGAATTGTATTTTTTATGTGTTATAGACAGCAAAAAGTTTCCTTTTACTTGTGTTTATCTGACCTTGAAGTTTTAAGTAAAAATCAGAGATGGGATTCAACATCTTTGACCAAAATGTTTGATAAAATTACACAAGTTCACAAAACTTGTTTATTTATCTTGGAGTAGACTAGATGTTAAAACAGAAGTTAATGCTTCAGTAGATAAAATAAAAATAAACAAAAATTTGTCTTTGCACAAGTGGCTCAACACAGTTTTTGGCTGAAAAATAAGAGAAAGAAAGGATTTCAGCCAATAAAATATATTCTCACTTTATTTCAACCAATGAAAACTTCTGCATGATTTCAGCCAATAAAAACTTCTACTTAAAAACAAAAATCTTCTTTTGAAGCCTGTGATGACCTATAAGTATGCAATTATAGCTTCTCCCACCTTAATTCAGCTAATGAAAACTTCTCCCACATGATTTTAGCCAATGAAAACTTCTTCCACTTTATTTCAGTCAATGAAAATTTCTCCCACCCGAATTCGACCAATGAAAACTTCTCCCACTAAAAAGTAAAAACTTTCTTCTGGAGCCTGTGATGATCCATAAATAAGCAAAACAAAAATTGTCTCTTCAAAAGATCTTTATCAACTGCCACACAGACCACATCTGTTTTCTCTCCAAATTCCATTCTCTTACCATGTGTACTCTTTCTTCAGTATTGTTTAAATTTGTAATTATTAACATTCATCATCACTTTCTTTTAAGGGAACACCTTTACAAAAATGATTTATCATTTGAACTTTAAAAAATTACATAAATATTTTATGTCATTGTTTAAATATGAACAAAAATTGATTATTATGTTCAATACAAAATACTTTCTAAAAAAGAATAAACATATTTTTCAAAATTATTCTTGTAT